TCTTTAACAAATGGTGCTGGAAAAACTGGCTCTCTACATGCCAAAAAGTAAAACTTGACCCAGGTCTATCACCATACACTAAGCTAAAGTCAAAATGGATTAAAGATCTAAACATTAAAGCAGAGACACTAAATCTCCTGGAAGAGAAAGTAGGAGGAACTCTTTAAGACATAGTTGTAGGCAGAGTTCATAAACAAAAATCACATAGCACAGGAAACAGTTGAATGAATTATCCAGTGGGACCGGCTCTTACTGAGAAGTTTTCTCATGTCAAAAGAACTTACCAAAAAAGTGAAAAGACAACCCACAAATTTCGAAAAAATCGTGACAAATAAGTACTCAGTCAATGGTCTGCTATCTAGAATTTATAAGGAAATAAAAAATACTAGGGGCCCAAAATATAAAGACTCAATCCAGAAAAAGGCATCTGAGATGAAAACACACTTCTCAGAGGATGAAATTAAAGAGAATAAAAATATGAAAAAATGCTCCACCTCAATAGCCATCCATGACATGCAAATTAAAACAATATTGAGATATCATCTCACCCGAGAAAGAATAGCTATTATAAAGAAAGCAACCAACAACAATTGTTGGAGAGTCTGTGGGGAAAAACCACCCTTCTCCACTGCTGGTGGGAATGTACAATCGTGCAACCATTATGGAATTCAGTGTGGAAACACCTTAGAAAATTCGGACTGGAAATGCCATATAAACCAGGTATTGCTCTTCTGGGAAATTTCCTGGAGGATCTGAAAACATCATATCATAGGGATATATGTGTGCCTATGTTTAGAACAGCACAATTTGTGATAGCCAAATCTTGGAAACAACCAAGATGCCCATCACCTGAGGAATGGTTGAAAAAGATGTGGTATTTTTACACAATAGAGTATTACTCAGCTATAAAGAATGATAAACTTGATACCTTTATATTGAAATGGATGCCACTTGAACATATACTCATAAGTGAAATAAACCAGACACACATGTGTAAATATCATATAGTTTCCCTAGTATAAGAACTCAAAAGAAGAAATACAAATAAAAAGGTATAATACAAGTGAAAGGAAAGCAAGAACTCAAGAAATAACTAATTAAGAGAGGGAAAGGGGAAGAGCTAGGAAACATGACAGTGAGAAGCCATACAGTTATATGTAGAAGATGGACAAGGCAATGATCCTGAGAATCTCCAGAAGATTTTTAAGTCTAACAGTTAATTGGAAAGATTCTCACCGTGACTAAATATATATGTTGATACCTATGAACTAAGCAACTGCACTGAAGATGGTAATCTGTAATAGTAGTTTCGTGCTTGGAGTGCCTGTTATTCTGGTCTTCTGAATATGGGCTACTTATCATGACATGCCACTTGCTGCTGTGCTGTCTCTCAGGTAGATGATTGTTCAAAATGTAGTGGATGGCGAATCAAGGCAAGAAACAGGAAGAGGAATGTTTTGGGACAGTCCTGCTTCAAAGTTTTATATGGTTAGATTTTTGGACTTATGTGTAAACAAAAGAATTATATCATTTTTATACATATTTTTAAAATATATTCTAATTTTTAAATGTTTTGTCATCATATCCTATAGGGACTTAAATTTCAACATATCAATACTTGATGAAAAATACCCGTTATATATTATGCCTAAAACATTTGATATTCAGACGGATAGTGAGGTTAAGGTTAACAACCTAGGTTTTATGGTAATAACAATAAGCTTATCTTCTGGAGGGTTAACAACTTAAGTTTGCAAACCAAAATTAAAGAAAAAGGAGGGTCACAAGGAAAGCCAACATTTTGGCTCTAGCCTTCCAAGGTCAATTAACACTCAGGACATATGACAACTTGTACTTTAACGTCATGTAACGCAGTAGTGTCCCAAATTTTCTGACCAAGGAGATTATGGGGCCAAAGAGGAAAGTGACTGATGATGTACAGTGTGCCTAAGGAGAGTCACATGGAGAGAAAACATTCTCTCGGGCTTTCACAGAGAGCACATTGGCCAAGCAACGGCCGTGACTCATCCACATGGCTGACTCTGACAAAGGTACAGGATCTCAGGATAAATCCTGAGGAGATTTAACTGACCTTATCAGACTCAAAAGGTACAGCTCCTGTTGCATAGGTCCTGCCTCACCTTGGTCTTAATCATCCAACAGAAAAGTATAAAAGCAAAGTATAAGATGTAAAACCATAGTGTTATGTTGAGCTGTAGAGGACTCAGGTCGACAATTTCTGACATTGACAGTGAAGTGGAAGACCTAGTACTATTATGGACTATTGTACTCTTTTAGAATATTTTGCTGAGTTAACAATCCTATAATATTCAAATAACGGAACTTAACAAAAAAGGGTATACAGATGAATGTTCATTTTGTATCTGTGTATTCAAAATGGTTAGGATACATCCATAGGTATATTCTCTTAATGAATAGAGGGATTTTTTCTAACAGTGTTTGTAAATAGGATATCATGTCCCCATCTTGGACAACAAGTAACCACTAGGAAGAATGTATGCAATGTGTTAATTATTGAAACTGTCTTAAAAATTTGGTTTGAAATTGTCTCATTAGTATTTGTTTCTCAATATAATTATGGAAAAAAAGAATAATATGATCATGCATACATGTGTAAAGCATTGACCTCCTATAGGCAGAAGCAAGTAGCTGGCCTCATTTTTCCTTCCATTTGACAGTGGGTCAATCAAGTCAGGAATCACCTCTTTAATGATGTGATATTCTCAATGTCTACTATGTTGTAGAAATTGTTCTAGGATTCTTAGGTGAAGCACAAAGAATAACCTGAGAGAGGCACCTTGATGACACTGCCCACCATCCAAGGGAAGACACCTTACCTTCCAGGGGGGAAACATCATCACTTGTGTATTTCTGAATGGTGGCCTTTGTACTTCTTCAAAAAGTGTGGCATGGAGGGCATGGGCCACAGCATACACAGCATTGTATATATTGTAGCTCCTATCACTCATGGCTGTTTCAAACCTATTCACAGGCAACCAAGCCAGAGAGGCATTAGGGGTACAGTTCTTCAAGGCACAGTCAGACTCAGAGAATGAGCATTCAAAATTCTCAGACCAATACATAACAAGGTAAGTGTCCTCCGGGTATTTGAGAGGGGTAGCTTCCTGGACAAAATCTTTGAAACCTGAAATCTCTTCGTGATGGTGTGAAAAAGCAAGAATCCCATGAAATGGGTCACTGATGAAATCTCTCCCAACCAGGTCAGCATGCCATCGTGAGTTTGTCACCCAGACTTTCCATGTCACTAAGTTCTGCACTATGCTGTAGTTTATATCATTTGCACTATCAGTGTCACAGTAAATTACCACCACATTGGCAGATGACATCTCTGCAGTCAGGATGTCATCTTTCTTTCCAGCTGGGTGATAAGACACAGCCATAGTTGACACCATGTTCACAAAGGCTGCACAGATTCTGTTCCTGTCCATCTCAGCTCTTAAATCCGAGAGAAACTGAAGACCCTTATGGCTCTCTGTGATGAGCAAGCCCACCCAGGTCCACTGGAAATGAAGCATCAAGGACACCATGGCAAAGGCCAAATATGTGTCCTTTGGGGCCACCTGATGGAAAGAAGGATACTGGCCACTGTCCATCAGTGTAGGATCAAATGAGCCAAAGGTAACCTTAATGAAAAGAACACTGGGTAACATAACAGAGTCTTATGGAAAGAGATTAAGAGCCCTAAGTGTACTGAGTGATACCTCAAAGTTGTGGGAAGAGACACATGTTCCTCCCATTATTGTCAACATCTCCTACAGAACAAGATTTTTTAACGAATGAATATATTCAGACATCATTGAAACATATTTATTCCCCCTTTTCCTTTCTATTTGATGCCAAAAGAGACAAAGTAACAAAATTGGAAGTAACTCACTAATTCTCTCTGTTTAGATTCTGGTACATTATACACCTTGAAAGAGGCTAATAACAGCTTCGATTTTCACACTTAATGTGCCAGGTAGGTAAAGCACCATTGATGTGTTTCCTTCATTTCCTGTCCCACTAAACCTCACCTGTGGAAATCTGTAGAGCTCCAGCAGTGGTCCAATCTGAGCTGAGGTTTCCCATGACATTTCTGTCAGTGCTGCCACACACTTGTGCTCTCTCCTACAAATGTAATTAGGAATCTCATGTTGTCCTGTGAGCACAATGAAGGAATTCTCTAGTATCCTCCAATGGCTACTAATGAAATTATGGAACTCATAGCCCAGAGAAACGTTGGGTAAAAGATGAGGATTCCTGTTGATCTCATCTATTGCAAAAATGAAGGCCAGGTAATTCTGGTAAGTGCTAGGTGTAAGCCTGCATAGAGAACACAGAGGACCTTAAGAAAAGATATCATCATTGATCTTCGAATCCAGTCCAGCACCATTTACCAAGTGAATGCTAGTGTTCTTTCCTCTCATTCATAAGAATCAAGCATGCATGTGATGATGTTAGTGCTGCCAAGATAGCTCAGCAGTCTAAGTGTTGTCTGGCAAGTGCAAGATCCTGTGTTCAATCCCCAGTACTCTATGATGATGTGCCAGACCAGGTACCACCATGCCCAGGCATTATATATATATATATATATATATATATATATATATATATCAGTATCTCCGTTTCCCTAAACTTGCCTAAGCTGGCATTTTAGACCACTGACCTATCTCGAAGGCCCATACTCTGGGGTTTCTAAGCCATGGAATAAATATTCAGCAAGTCTGGAAAGAATAAAAGAACTGAACAGAGAAGCAGGCATGACTATCCCATTAGTAACAAGATTATTCACCTAAAAACATTTAAAAACTTCTGGTACAGTCCCAGCAAAAACTAAGTTAATGAAGGAAAGAGATTTCCAATATAGAAGTGACAAATGAAAGTCCTTTGAGGAAAAAATGTATGCCATAGTAGTAGCCTTAACAAACGAACAATAAGACATGTTTAAAGCCCTACAATTCCAGTAAAGAGTAAGAGCACTAAAACCAATATGTTGTTGGGCTGGTGAAATAGCTCTGTGGTCTATGCAACCACTTAGGCAAACACAGGGACCCGATTTTTCAATCTCGGTCCTCATACCAAAAGCCGTGCTGGCCACGCCCTCAGGCAGGCTGAGCCAGCAAGGAAGTCCAGGTGTGGTAGAGCACAACTATAATCTCAGACCAGGGGAATCCGAAAAGAGGGGACCCCTGGGAATCTGAGCTGTGTGGTGAGACCCTGTACCAAATACATAAAGAACATAATGTAAATATGTCCATATAAAAACATTTTGTCAATTTTGACACTGCTCAAAAACGTTAAAAGAAGATAATTTTATATTAAAATTAAAATTACCCAGACAAATATTACAAAAATACTCTGAAATTTGCAAAATGTATGGAAGTAGTGAAATAGAACATAAAAGAAACATGTTGCAGAAAAGTAACTAACAGAAGCATCCATAGAACAGAGTATAAAAAGGCAACCTCTACATCAGTCTCATTCTATCTGAGAGCTTCCAGCTACCCTGCTCCAGTGGAACCAACTTGGGGTACCAACCCAGGCCCAGCGGGGGTCAGACCGTCTTCCACCCCCTTGGGACACCCCCCACCACTCTGCAGCACTTCCCCCACGTCGCCTGCCCAGTAGGAATTTCTGTCATGTTCCAGAAACACCCAGACCCAGTCCTAGCCCAGGTCCGGTGAGTGTGTGGGACAGCTTCCAGCTAATCTGCACCAGCGGGACAAACTGGAGGTCCCAGCCCAGGAGCAGGGCTGGTCAGACCTTCTTCCATCCCCTAAGGACGCCCTCCACCACTCCGCATCACCTACCCAACTCCGCCGTACAAGTAGGAATTTCTGCCACGTTCTGGGAACACCAAGACCGAGTTCCAGCCCAGACCAAGTGAGTGTGTGAGAGAGCTGCTTCTACCCCTACTCCACCTTGGCCCCTACACGCTCAGCTCAGGCCTGGCATACAGGCCTGGTGTGTAACACTGCAGGTGCAATCCCTACGGAGAGGGTAGAGGATAGAACCACTCAGCTAGTCCAGAGTAGAACATCTTGCCACAGGGGAACAACAGATTCACCCTCAAGGGCAGCACAGGAAGGAGCTGAGCACAGCAGCGAGACCCAAGCCAGACACAGCTGGATGAATCCAGACTTTGTAGATCTGCACCTGAACTTCAGTACGTACTAAGATTATAACTACAACAAAGATCTACAACAAAGGTCAGAAGACAGTGCTATACAAAATGATGAGAAGGAACAAAATGCAACCTCAGAACCCAACACCAACTGTAAAAAGTACAGAGGACATTAACACAGAAAAAATTGGGAATCACACAGCTGAAAGTAATGAATCAATGGCTTGTGAAATAAAGAAACAGCTGCAGACCACGAAGATTATGGGGCCAAGGAGGAAAGTGATCGATGACGTACAGTGTGCCTAAGGAGAGCCACATGGGGAGAAGACACTCTCTCAGGCTTTCACAGAGAGCACATTGGCCAAGCAATGGCCGTGACTCATCCACATG